GCAATTGATATACAATACACATTCTTCTCAGCAGAACATGGAACATTCTCTAGAATACACCATAAGTTAGGTCACAAAACAAGTCTCAATAAACTTTAAAAATTGCAGTCATATCAACTATCTTGACTGAATAAAAATAGAAATCAACGACAAAAGGGATATTGGATACCATACAAATACATGGAAATTAAACAACATACTCCTGAGCAAAGAATGTATCAAAGTATAAATCAAAAAGAAAATTTTAAATTTCCTGGAGACAAATGAAAATGAAAACACTTCATAACAGAATCTATGGGTACAGGAAAAACAATTATAAGAGGGAAGTTTATAGCAGTAAATGACTATATCATAAAAGAAGAAAGACTTCAAATAAACAATCTAACATTACACCTCAAGGAATGAGAAAAATAAGAACAAACCAAACCCCAAATCAATAGAAGGAGAAAAATAACAAAGATGAGAGCAGAAATAAATAAAATGGAGACAAAAAAATACAGAAGATTGATGGAAAAAAGTTTTTTGAAAAGACAAAGGAAATTGATAAGCCTTTAGGAGGACTAACAAAGAAAAAGAGAGAAGACTTGAATAAATAAAATCAGAAATGAAAAATGAGACATTATAACTGAGACCACAGACCACAGAAATACAAAGGATCGCAAGAGACTGTGAATAACTACATTCTAACAAACTGGAAAACCTAGAAGAAATGGACAAATTCCTAGAAACATACAACTTACTAAGGCTGAATTACGAAGAACTAGAAAACCTAAAGATCAATCATGTAATGAGATTAAAACAATAATAAAAAGTCTTCCAGCAAAGAAAACCTCAGGACCAGATGGCTTTACTGTCAAAATCTACCAAACATTTAAAGAAGAAATAATACCATTTTTTTTCAAACTCTTCCAAAAAATTGAAGAGGAGAGAATACTCCCAAACTCATTTTATGAGGCCAGCATTACCCTTATCCCAATTCTGGAAAAGACACAAGAAAACAAACAAATAGACAAACAAAACTACAGACCAATATCCCTGATAAACACAGATGGGAAAATCCTCAACAAAATACTGGTAAACCAAATCCAACAACACATTAAAAAGATCATTCAACAACCCACAGATGCAAGGACTGTTCAACATATGCAAATCTAGAAATGTGATACTCCACATTAACAGAATGAAGGGGGAAGAAAACACATGTGATCATTTTAATAGATGCAGAAAAAGTATTTGATAAAATCCAACACCCTTTCAATGATAACAACATTCAACAAATTAAGTATAGAAGGAATATAATAATAAAAGTCATATACAACAAACAAAAATTGGAGGCTCTTCCTCTGTGATCTGGAACAAGACAAAGATGACCACTTTCTCCACTCTTTTTCAATACAGTACTGGAAGTTTTAGCCAGTGCAATAAAGTGAGAGAAATTGATAAAGGGTGTCCATCTCAAAAAGGAGGAAGTCAAATTGTCCCTATTGCAGATTCCATCATCATATACACAGAAAATGCAAAAGACTCCATCAACAAATTACTAAAACTAATAAATGAATTCAGTATAGTGGCAGAATACAAAATTAACACACAAAAAATAATCAGTAGTTTTTTTATGCACTAATAATGAAGTAGTGAGGTAGAAATCAAGGAAGTTATTCCATTCACAATAGATATGCAAAAAATAAAATATCTAGGAGTAAATTTAACTAAGGAGGTGAAAGAACTCTACAATGAAAACTATAAAGCATTAATGAAAGAAATTGAAGAGGACACAAATAAATGGAAAGATATCCCACACTCATGGGTTGGAAGAACTAACATCATCAAAGTAGACATATTACTCAAAGCCATCCACAGACTCGACACAATCCCTATCAAAATACCAACGACATTCATCAGAGACGTAGAAAAACTGACCTTATAATTTGTACAAACCACAAAAGACTCCACAAAGTAGACATATTACTCAAAGCCATCCACAGACTCGACACAATCCCTATCAAAATACCAATGACATTCATCAGAGACGTAGAAAAACTGACCTTATAATTTGTACAAACCACAAAAGACTCCATATAGCTAAAGCAATGTTGAACAAAAAGAACAAAGTTGAAGGCATCACACTACATGACTTCAAAATATACTATAAAGCCATAGTAACCAAAACAGCATGGTACTGGCATAAGAATAGACAAATAGACCAATGGAACAGAAAAGAGAGCCCGGAAATAAACCTGAATTTAAGACCTGAAACTATGAAACTACTAGAAGAAAACATAGGGAAAACACTGCATGAAATAGGAAGCACTTTTTTGAACAGGACTACAAAGGCACAAACAACTAAAGCAAAAATACACGAGTGGGGTTGCATTAATCTTAAAAGCTTCTTTACAGCAAGGGACACAATCATCAAAGTGAAGAGACAACCTACAGAATAGTAGAAACTATTTGCCAACTATACATCAGACAAGGAACTAATATCCAGAATATATAAGGAATTTAAACAACTCAATAGCAAAAAATCAAATAACTCAATTAAAAAATGGGCAAAGGACTTGAATAGACATTTCTCAAAAGATGACATACAAATGGCTTACAAGCTCATGAAAAAATGCTCAACCTCACAAATCATCAGGGAAATGCAAATTAAAACCACTATGAGATGTCATCTCACTCCAGTTATAATAGGTATTATCAACAAGAGAGAAAATGATGGCAAGGATGTGCAGAAAAGGGACATCTTGCACATCAATGGTGAGAATGTAAATTGGTACAGCCACTGTGGAAAACAATATGGAGGTTCCTCAGAGAACCAAAAATAGATCTACCTGATGACCCAGCTATCCCACTACTGGGTATATACCCAAAGGAAATGAAAACAATATAGCGAAAAAAACACCTGTACTCCTACGTTTATTGCAAAACTATTCACAATAGCCAAGAGATGGAATCAAGTTACATGCTCATCAATGAATGAAAAGTGGATTTTCATAGAAGTACAGAGTAGAATAATGGTTACCAGAGGCCGAGAGAAGCGGAAAGGTCGGGGGGAGAAGTAGTGAACTAATGTGTACAAAAATACTCTATCTACCCTAAATGAATCATTGTGTAGTATATGCATGTATTGAAACAAAACACTGTATCCCACAAATATGTACAAGAAAATATTAAAATAAAAATTTTAAAAAAGAACAATATATTTTCTAGTATATAATTTTTTGAGGAAAAATTGAATCCGGGTGTTTTAAACCATGATATATTTAATCTCTATATTTGAACTACCTAAAAAGTATGAATAAACACAAAACTGTAAAAAAAATATACAGATTAAAAATTTATTTTAAATATTTTTCAATGTCTTCGAAGGTTATAATAATGAATCAACTGCTTGTTGATATAAGTAACACCTTCTAAGAAAAGTAACTATATTTTCAAAAACTAATGTAAAAAGAGGATTGTTTTACAGTTTTACAATATGTTTAAGTCTGGCTCACTAGAAGACAGCTGGATTCTCATACCTGCTTCTTCATCCTATCAGTTGTGATATGTTAGTTGCAGTTTATAAAGAAAATCCACCCTCACACAGCTATGTAGTTGAAAAAAGGAGGAAGTGTTTTAATAGCTTTTCTAGATAACTCTGGATATTCTTTTTTCATACTACGCCAACACATGTCAAGTGATAGTTATTTAAAGGTTAGTTGCAGTGTGAAATCTGAAACCATAGTGATGAACTTTTCATACTCTATTACATTAAAATTAATTGGTCTATCTCGCACTTTGAATGGATCATTTACCCATGCATGATTTTACCATGTCATTTGGGAAATATTGGTTACCTGACTTACGCATACCTTCCAAATGTTGACACATTTTATTATGCAATACCCCAAAATCACATGAGTTAATATCGCCATCCATCTAATCAGAAAAGCCTTTAAGTAATGGGAAGCTGTCAAGCTTACTGTGGTGGATATAAGTCTTCCAAAATTCTGATTTTCACTTGAAAGCTTGATTTTTATTTTTTGCAACTAACGCTGTAGATCATTTTTCTAGAAGTGCCAGACTCACTGTATTCATTCTTTAGAAAATGCCTGCCACACAACCAGGCTTGAATAACTATAGTTTAGTTATTCAAATCTAAATGTTCATTAAAAAGAAAATGATTAAATCAATTAGCTTGCTCTGGGTAAAGAATTAGATACAAGCTTTCAAAAGAATAAGATGGAGCTTTATGTACTGAAATAAAAACTTTGCAATATATATTGTAAGTGCAAAAAAGCAGTTAGCTGAATAATACATTTAATATAATTCCACTTTTGTAATTAAAAATGATACACACATACATAAAGAAAATTTTGGAGACATGACTGCTGTCAATTATGGGTAAGTGAATGGTATTGATTGTTGTAGTGAAGAGACAAATTTCATATTTAAGTCCACATTACTTCAACACTCTATAATAAATTTAAATATTTTTTTCAATTTAAAAAGTAAAAAAAATTGATCTCAGTATAGTGATATTGGAAAAGTGTGGGTTATATGGAAATCACATAGAGATAAAAGAGAGAAGTCGTGCAAGAAATAAGATGGTCCTTGTAAAAGTTGAATGACAGGAAAAAGGTTTACCCCTGAATTATGTGGATAATCCACACTGAATATCATGCTTGAATAATTATGTCACATAACATATTAAAAAATAGATCATTTTTATAATAACATCTCAAGACTGTACATGTTTAAATATATATATATATATACATATATATGCACACAAAATAATCTCTGACATTTATCTGAGAAAATATGATGGACCCAATATACTAGGCAGATATTCTTGAAGATATAGTTTTTCCTACTGGAAGAAAATCAATTAGAAGAGTTTTGAACTGAAAAATTATTTTCCATGAATTTTAATACACTTACTTGTAAGAAACAGTATGATGAAACATACTGGAAATTCCATGATTAAAAGTTAATAATCATAGTATACATGATGTACATGCTAGCAGTTAATTGCTTCTTTAACATTTGGGGAGTTGGATGATATAGTCATATTTATTCTTGAATATAAACTCTAGGAAAATGTAATTGCTACACGCAATTACCACTATTATTTCTCTAGTAATCCACATGATACTCATTTCCACCAAACTACTTAAAATTAAATTGTTGTACTTACTTTCAACAATTACTTGTCTGTCTTCCCAGTTATCATTAACAAGCTGTATATTTCCAAAGTGTGCATCACTGTAAAAGATTCGGTTGGTACCTTTTCTTCTTTGACTATAGTCAAAAGCCAAGGCTATGATATTCTTGAAATAATGTGGATTCTCATATGGCCTTATTGGAGAATTTAAATTTGTTTCATCAGAAAGATGTATACTTTTTAATATTGTTCTCCCTGAATAGAGCAAGTAGCCTTCATGCCTTAGGCAAGTAACTCCATCGTCTGCCAAATATCCATGGGCACAAGCACAACTTCTCCGGGAATTTCCTCTATAAAGACAGAGTTGCTTACAGCCACCATTGTCTTTGGCACAGACATTGGTCCCTAAGAAATAAAAAAATATATATATACAAAACACATGTTTATGATTTTCTCTTGTTTTCCAAATAAGTTTTTTTCTTATAGAAATAATAACAATTTATTGTCTTTTTATTCTTAATTTTAAGACGAGTCAAGAAAAAAAATCAAACCCTATAAAGTACTGTTTTCTAATCACAGCAGTTTAAAATCTTGGGTTTCTTATTTGAAAGATCACATTCTTCTGCTTCCTTCACCATCCAAATAAAATCATTAAAACTTTCCCTTAATGAGCCAGTTAAGTGTATAAATCTTTTTTGACACTTGATACTGAGATTACAATAGGTTTTATATATTGTCATCTTTGGTACAAATAACTGATTCACTCAAAAAGACAAACTGAATTCACCAAAAAAACATGTACTGCTTTAAACTGTGTGTCTGTGAGTTATGTCAGTGTCAAAGAAATTTGTGGTTCCAAGGTGCCTAACTTCATAAATGTATCAGATGTAAGCTTTTGCTCCACTTTTGAGTGAAGACATAATATGCTCTTAGGATTTCTTCGTGAAGCTAATTTTCCTCTATGAATCCATAATTATCATCTCCAAAATGATTATTCCTTTATTTGATGTAAAGAAAATTAATTATAATTTGTTTCAATGAAGGCAGATTTAAAAATACCCAAATCACTCTCATGTCAGTTTCAAAATACACATTATAAGGAAATGATGACTTCAAGAAATGTTTCACTCTAAAAGCATCAACTTCCAGAGCCGTGACCACTTTATACACTAACATATAATCCAAAACAAAAACTTCAGCCGCTTTTTACTCTCTAGTATTCTAATCATGCTTTTTATGTTTTGTCAAATCAGTATATCTATCAAGTATTTTTCATATTACTAACCCAAACCTATACTCAAGACACGCCTAATATGTAATATGTCTGTGTACGTATGCTGCCATATACAAGTGTACCTATTTATGAACTACTACATATTCATTTCACTAGGCTACTACATGAATTTTGTAGGACATTAGATGCAAAATATAAATACATAAAATAAGGTTTTGTGGTTTTGAACTAGTATAAGTATTAACCCCAACTTAAATTCGACAAATTTATTAAAAAATGAGACATAAATAACATAAAATACATTTATTACATATATTCCTTTAAGAGTGCTAACCTTTCTCTCTTACTCGGTTAAAGATTTTAACCTCCTTCAGGTTGACTCCAAGGCCAGTTCTCATGGTTACCATTTCTGTGGCATCATTCTTGTGGCCCCTTCTGACGGACCCATTAGCATGTGCTCTGCCAAAAAAATTGAACATACATGATCAACAATCTTCAATTAATTAAAATCAAGCCAGTTGTTTAAGCTGAAGATAACAGACGGCTGTGGCATCATTCTTGTGGCCCCTTCTGACGGACCCATTAGCATGTGCTCTGCCAAAAAAATAGAACATACATGATCAACAATCTTCAATTAATTAAAATCAAGCCAGTTGTTTAAGCTGAAGATAACAGACGGCCAAACAGAAGTGAAAGAAACCAACTTTAGTCTGTTATATTGAAATTCTTGGGCCTGGAATAGCAAGAGTGCCTGATTTTTCTGTGGAAATCACATGGTTTTGTAAGATCCTTTTTGTGACCTTGCTAAAGAATGGCTTATCCTACAAGGGTAAAGCAACTGGCACTGAAATAACATTTTGAGACTGAAATACTTATAAAAAAATAAATTACCTGTCAGACCAGTAGATGTAAGCCCCAAAGACTGCAACTGAAAACATATCCACATTGCTCCCTGACAGCACCATCTCACGATTCCTTCCAGTCTCAAGGTCAATTCTCTCTATCTTGTCTGTGCGAGCATCACACCAGTACAATTTATTTTCCTAAAGATCGATTGAAAAGTAATATCACAAGCTGTTTTTGATTGTTGTATTAAGAAAATAAGGGAACACTAAACGTGAACTAATGCAAGCTGGCAGTTAATGTACTTTAAATACTCGAAAGAAATCCAACAGACCTCGTAGTCAATGGAGATGCCATTCGGCCATGCTATTCCCATGCTTACAAGGACAACCTTCTCTGAGCCATCTAAGCGAGCCTTTCCAATGCAGGGCATTTGTCCCCATTCAGTCCAGAACAAGAAGCTGAAATCAAATAGTTGATTTATAGTAATATATAGATAAACACAAAAAGACAATAAGAGCAGTAACACCCAGTAACAGAACAAGAATAATATATTTTAGAAATTAAAATGTAAGTTCATTTATGTTTGCCAAAAAATTCACTTTTATTGTAAAAAATATTTAACCAGCCATAGAAATCATGAAGATGGTTTCAAAACCATACCAAAATACCTTTTTTTACATGCTATTTCCTGTCTGAAATGCTCATTTAAAACCTATTTGCCTAATTTGTTTCTTTTTTGCAGATCTCAAATATTTTCTTCAAGAAGACTTCTGTTTCTTTTCTCATTATTGCATCACATACTCTGTCTCATAATATAGAATGGCAAATCTACACTTGTATTTCTTTACACTGATTATTAATATTTTTTGCCCCCACTAGACAGTAAGCTCAATGAGGACAGTGATCTTTCCTCTTTTTTTCCACTATTATACCTACTGGTGTTCATTAGAAAATTTAAAAAATAAAAATTAGTGGTAAGTAAATATTTAATTTATGAATGTACAAATTGATGTGTCATAACTTTCAATTCTGTCCACTTGAATAGTTGTTAAGCACAACTATTCAAGTTTGAACTTCATAAATTATCTGTGAAGCCATCTTAAACCATGGCTTCATACAAAAACAAATACTTTTATTTTAGTTACCTCATAAAATAAAATGAAATGTAGAAGGAATGTGTCAAAAAATGTAATACAGAAAGAAAATCTAGCATATGCTGAAATGAAACTATATATCAAATAATAAAATGTAGAAAACCAAAGTGTATATAATCCATGCATTCTTTCACTCATTCATTCAACAAATGTGGTATTTATGTAAGAACACAGAAATCCATGCATTTAGATAAACATGACTCATTTTAATTTGATGTTACGTCCACTGAAGTTTTCACCCAACTATCAGATAACAGCAATGACTAATTTTGAGAAAAATATGGCAATCATTGATTTATTCAGGCAAAAATGGGTCTATATTTCCATGCATATCTGAATATATGTATATATACACATATATATATATATATGAGTGATCATACAAGAAGAGACAATATAAGACTGTGTATATAAAAATTAAAGACCTATACTCATATTTTCTATATATCCTATGGAATTACTGTATTGTTTAACCATGAAGAAAAGGTATTTAAACTACATGAAATATATGTATTCTTTTTATGCATATTATTTTGATTTATTTTAATAGTTCATATTTTTTCCTGAAAATGCTGTATAAAGTAAATGTCTTGGAGTTTTACAACCAGACAGAAAAAAAGGTGTGGCTAGAATCCCAAGAATATTTATTCTGAAAATACTTTCATTCATATTTACAAGCTCTATAAATCAGAAAGGGGAAACTTTGTAGCAGGAAATCCAACTAATATTTTATTGGTAATAGCTTGGTGAAGCAGGCATGAAAAAAATCTATACTTGCATTAAAATCAAGTTTTTTAAGACTTTAAGGGATTCTCTCATCGGATTAAAAATCATTTTTAAAATAAAATAACTGGGAAATAAAATTTATTGCTCCATTTAATTTTCTAAGGACAAATGTCATTGTGTTAAAATGGCAGGGGATGTTACACCGTGAAGGAGGCCCTGTGGGAACCTGGGCACACACGTACTTACTTATTCAATCTGATTCTTATCATCTACTTTTAATATACTCCAAAGTGTAAATATAGAAAGAAATGTATATTATAGACATTTTAATTAATATTAATCTGCTTTCAAATGCGGATTAATATTTAATGTATTATTAAATGAGTAACAAAGATATTATTTTGAGTGAGTAGTCCAAATAAGCCATTTAATGTACTTAGACCTATGGAAATTATAGCTCAGGAAGTTAAGGATCCACACTCACATGACCAATAAGGGGTAAG